CAGTAGACTTAAGTGCAACAGCTATTGTAAAGCACAAGGACTGGATCTTCAACACAAAGTCCCAGTGATGAGTTCAATTCCTTTCCTTCACCTTCAAAAATCCAACCTACAGCCTTAGAAGACACGTAGCACAAGAGTGCTACCAGTTCTCAGCAAGGTATCACTCAAATCTACACACAGACCGTGCAAGCTTGTGGTTTCCCCCTGCCTGCCACAGAAGAGACCTTCACTCAGCCAGTCACTTAGAGGGATGTTAACCCTCACAGCTCATTTGCAAAAGCTGCCATCCAGAGCAAAATCAGAAATATAGTTAATGCCATAAGCAAATCTTGTCTCTCTCTCTCTCATCATACTTACCATTAAAATTAAAAGCTACCCAACATGCTTACACAGACCCAGCTTTGAACCTGCACTGTTCAACTCAGTGCATGAGCCCCTCAGAGGGTGGTGAAGCACTGGGACAGGTTGCCCAGAGAAGTTGTGGATGCCTCATCCCTGGAGTGGTAAAAGTCAAGGTCGGGTTGGAGGGGGCTTGGAGCAACCTGGCCCAGTAAAAGGCACCACAGCAAAAGGTGTCCCAGCACATAGCAGGGGGGTTGCAACTAGACAATCTTTAATGTCCCTTCTAACCCAAACCATCATATGTTTCTATTACACAGCCTCATGACAGACTGTGATTCATAGTTCTACTATCAGGAGAATCTCTATGCTAAGATTGCCATGTTTTCTAATTCTACTAAGAGATTTACTGGGTTGCAACTGATAAATCTATTTTTTTTCACATCTATATTACTTTTGCAGGCCTTCCTTAAGGAAAGTATGATTGGAATTCTTTTACTGAATATGTGCTGTCTTTGAAAGTGTAGGATTCAAACTACACCAAACAATAGCATATTTAAGACAGTAACCACTATGAATAGTAAAAATAAATAAATTTTGACTCCTGGCTACAAGTATAAACACTGTAATTCTTCCTATAATTCTTACCTAACCCGCATGTTGAAGTAAACTGGTATTAAAGGACAAGATAAATGAAACTCCAACTGAAAAAGAGCAACAAGACACAGCCAGGTCCTACAACAGGCTCTGCCAGGACAACTCAGTGGCCTGCCTTCAAACAGTGGCCTGCCTTCAAGCAGTGGGCTGCCTTCAAACAGTGGGCTGCCTTCAAGCAGTGGGCTTCCCTGGCCCTATGGCCAAGTGGAAACATGGCCAGCATTAACTGCTACTGGCCTGGTCCCTATCCAGCATCAACAACATCTCCACCTGCTTCTTCATGGCCAAGATTCCGGATGCCTTCAAAGACGACTTACTAACGCTCTTCACAGTCCCAGGAGGCCAGAAAAATCAGTCTTTCCCCCTCGAAGTCTTTGCCACTGCCACAAGCTTATCCTTGAATGTGATGCAATGAGTAAAACCTCACGATTAGTAACTGGTCACCTCTCCCCACAGCAGCTACAACTCCTACACACACACAGACACAGACACAGACACAGACACAGACACACACGCTTCAACGCAGAGCATAAATCAAGGGCTGCAGTGACACTAAAACCACACACGCAACTACTTTTTCAGCACAACTACTGGGCGGTAGCGCCACTATCAACCACAAGGTCACACACCGCCCCTTGCCCTCCCTGCCTTCGGCCCAGGGCCCGATCTCCCCTGGGCGGGGATCGGGGCCCCGGCCGCCCCTCCCGCCCGCGGCCCGGCCCAGCGCGGCCCGCTCCTCTCCCTCCGCTCCGCCATCACGTGTTCGCCGCGCCGGGGAGGCCCCGCCGCCATCTCGGGTGAGGGCACGGCGCCCTCAGCGCTCGCCCCAGCCCGGCTCGGCCCCCCGGCCGCCCCCAGCCTCGCCCTCCGCCCACACGCCGGCTCCGGCGGAGCGGGCGGGTGGGGACGCGGCCCCTGTCGCTCCTGTTCTTCCCCCGTCCCCCAGTCACTGCCGGGACGCGATGTGCTTGGGCCCGGCTCGCCTCTCCGGGGGCTCCCGGCCCCGCTCCCTTCCCCGGGGCCGCCGCTTTTCGCCAGCCCCCGCAGCCCGTACTCACAGCCCGGCGGCCACAGCCCTTGGCTCGGGCTGGCGTGGCGTGGCGCGGCCCAGCCCGGCACCTCCCCCGGGGCCGCCGGGCGGGGACAGCCGCACCACCCGCCTCGCTCCGACGGCCCCAGCCCGCCCGGCCTGGCGCTGCTCCCCGCCGTGCCCGCGGCTTATCGCGGAAACCCTTCAAGGGCGAAATGCATTACATCAGGTCAGACGCAATCTCAGAATATTCTTGGCTGGAAGGAACTCACAAGGATCGTTGCGTCCAACTCCTGGTCCTGCCCAGGACAGCCCCAAGGGTCACACCGTGCGCCTGAGAGTATTGTCTAAAAACCACTTGAACTGTGTCAGGCGTGGCGTTGGGGAGTCTGTTCCACTGTCCAACCACCCTCTGTGTGAAGAGCTTTTTTCTAATATCTAATCTAAATCTCCCATGACACAGCTCTAGGCCAGTCCCTCGGCCCTGTCCCCTGGTCACCACAGAGAAGAGGTTAGTGTCTGCCTCTCCTCTTCCCCTCATGAAAAAGTTACAATTGCAATGAGGTCTCCCCTCAGTGTCCTCCAGGTTGAACAGACCAAGTGACCTCAGCTGCTCCTCATACAGCTTCCCCTCAAGGCCCTTCACCATATGTTGCCCCTCTTTAGATGCTCTTTAGTAGCTTTGTATCTTTCTTATAGTGTGATGCCTGGAACAGCACACAATATTCAATGTGAGGCTGCAATAGCACAGAGTAATGGGAACAGACAGGCCAGAGACAAGTTAGCCTTGGACTTCAACTTCACTGGAGAAGCAACAGCCCTGGCTCCATGCACGTTGTATCTGTGCACATTGGGTCCCTTACATTTGGAAAACAAAAATGAGCTGTACTAAACCATTCCATGAATACGTGAGAAGTGTCCCCAATATTGCCCCAGGTTGCTGCCTGCCCCCCAGCAGACAGAGCTGTGGTCCCACTCCTCTCCATGCAGTAATACTCCCTTACAGCCTGGGAGAGACTTGGCTTCTGAGTGCTGGTTCTTGCAGGGAGAGATGATCTCTACTTGTCTGAATGATTTCACAAGATCTGGAAAGCAATAGTAAGCCAAAGCAAGTTGTAAGGGGCTTACTGCACCTGTATGTCCTTTACTGTGGTGATGGCACACTGGAACAGGCTGCCTGGAGAAGTGGTGGAGTCTGCCTCACTGGAGCTATTCAGGAGCCATCTAGACACAATCCTGTGCCCTCTGCTCTAAGATGATCCTGCTTGAGCAGGGAGGTTGGATCAGATGCCATTCTAATGTCTAACTTCATTAACTGAAGTTGCAGTTCTCAGATCCCAATCCCACTTTTGGGCTTTATTTCATTAAATAAATCCCAGTTCTCATAGGTGTCACACTATCCTGAGAACCTTGGAGCAGCTCCTCTTCCAGAATAAGCAAATCAACATTACATGCTGCAAGTGACAAGTGTCTCTTTCCTCTTTCAGATGACTGCATTAGTAGGAACATGTGAAATGACACAAAAGTTATAATTCATAGTAAACTGAAGTAATCAGGCCTGTAATTTATCATTTCTCACAAAGGAACAATGTTTGTCTGTCTTATTGCACCTTGACCCCTTTATGCATTTTCTACAAAATATTTTAAAAAAAGCTAATCTCATGTAACTAAAGGGTGCACTTCTTGAAAATTACCACAATCACTATATAATCTGGCAGTCCACTGCAGCAGTATGGCTTACTCCTGAAATTATTTTATTTAAGAAATCCATCTTCAAGTTAAAAACACTATTTCCTTGATTTTAAATGGAAAAATATGTTACTTAGTTCTCTGCAGTTTAAAGATTTCCCTTCAAATAGTAGATAAAATTTAGCTACTATTCTAGACATGCAGTTAAAAAAAGAACCCTGCACTTAAACACACACCACTTTCTCCATCAGAGCAGTGTAGTATTAAAGTCTATCTGACTAGCACTAAGGAAATTATCTAATTCTCTAAATAAAGCCCGAATTTAAAATAGTATGCATATTCTTTCACAACTGCACCAAGTGCCATGAACTCTGATTCACTGCAGGGTTTAAGTATTACCAGGGAGTTTTGAGACTCAGTTCTTAATGGTGTAAAAACAGTCACCAGCTTGGCTTATCCAAGTGAAAACCACTGGCAATAGACCAGAGACCTACTCATATCCTTTAACACAAAACAAGGAGTATTTACCATAGTGTGAAACTTGTTTGGGTTTCAACTACCCTTCATAGGGTGTTCTTTGCTCATCAACTGTTTCTATTAGCAAAGACAACTAAACCACTGCAGTCAATTTCTGAAGTATCTACATACATTTTTGCATGTAGAAAACTCTTGAATATTTATACAGCATTAAAAAACTAAGTGTGCATAAATATTCTACATCAAAGATGCAGCAATATAAAGCTTTCAGTTTCAGATCTGAGTTGTTTTATTTTCTCTAGAATAAAAATCAGAGTACAGCCTGGTTTCAGAGTAGAGTACTCAAAAAGTGATCTGGCAGAACTCTTAATGAACCATTTGGACAGAGCTTTTATTTCTGACATTAGGAAATAAAAATTCATTTCTGGCATGCTTCAGAAATTCTTACTCACCTGATGATAACAAAAACCATCAGAAGACAGACATGGGAAAGCAGGAAAGCACAGGTCAATCAGCTTATACACTATTTTCTACTCACATTCTGTATTTTCTTCGTTAGTTAAGGCTGGCTGACATGGGACCTGCCTGACTGCTCCCCTACATCCTTAGCCTTATGTACAAGCAGACTGATTGAACTGCTGCTCTGAGTTCATTATCAACGTTTTAACAATCAGATTGCTTTCAAAATACAAAATCTGAAAACAGTCACTTAAATAGCTGCATACCAGATTATTTCTGCTGATAAAAAAGCCTGTATATTTATCCCATTTCTTTTGTGGTAAATGTAGGTTTTTATCACTTGAATGAATGACTCTACACATGTAAAAAATGTATTGATATAGCCACACAATATCTGTAAAAGTTATGGTGCACAAATTAAATGCTCCTTTCATTACATCTTTAGAATTATCTTGCAAGTTGGAAAACACTTCAGCACAATTCAAGGGATAAAGTAATTACATTACATACTCTCATACTGTTTTGTAAATCTAATTGATTTTTATTGATAGTGATAAATGCATTAAGTTTTCAGTAAGAGTTACTGTTTCTACTTTTCCTAACAATATTTCAAGACTGTAAAGGTGCAATTTCAAGGGCCAAGAAAATAACTCAAGTAAAACAAGTTCTTAGGACACAAAGACCAGGATGGTCAAAAGCAGAGTGGCTCAATCAGGTCACAGTACACACTTGAAATGGAAGCCTTTCCTGCCCCTTTGTGAAAGTACATGATCTTGTGCATCCCATAAAACTATTTCTGGAGGTTAATTAACATTTAAATAATACTCCTAAGTGAAAAAAAATATCCTATCACTCAACATTTAAATTTTTTAAAAGAAGGTTGAACATAAGTTCACCATGGCTATATATGAAAAACTCTTGTTTCCTCAGCAATAAGGATACTGAAATCTAAGTTTTATGTAGGTAAACAGGCTAGGATTGAAAAGACACACAGACACCTTCCCCCAAAAACAATGGCCTCTGATTTTATTCTTTAGGCTTTTTTAAGCTGTCACTATAACTTTACATTTTGTACAGTATTTTGTGTATCAAGGGAAAGAATTATCTTTAACAAGATTCCATGTATTACAATATCAAGGACCGTTGTATTTGCATCCATGATGTTTAAAAAATCTCTCAGACAAACCATGTAGAAATAAGTATGCAAAAACTGCAAAGAAAAACATTTAAGTAGCCAAAATTAAAAAGACCTTTGTGTGAACCACAGTCTAGCTCGGGTTTCTACTAGGCTATTGCAGCCAAGTAGTCCTTAACCTCAGTTGGAGTAAGCCTCCTAAAACCAGCTTCATTACAGATGCCAACTTCAATGTTGTCTTCTGTCATTTGCCCTTCAAAGCTCTCCTATTAAAAAAAATACAGTTCAGTGAATCATGTCAGTGAAGATATAAGAAACTTCTTTCTTAAATGCTTTGCTCACCTTTAGTGTTAAGATAGCTGTATGAATAGCATCTTCAAGCTCCAAATCTTCATTGTATCTGTAAGCAGACATTCATTTATTTCAGCATAGGACAAAAACCTTTACAAATTTTGATAATCCCTCTAAAATCCCCAAAACTACTAAAATCTGTTTCTCATACAAATATTATTTGTAAGCATAGCGGCATTAAAAGTCAATGTTACAATTAAAAAAAAAAAACAACCTACTTTTCCTACTGACACTGTATAAAACATTGTTGCAAATCTGCTGAATATAATGTCTACTGCACTCAAGTAACTCTACATAAACACAAAAGTTGGAGTTTAAATAAATCAAACTTCCTGTGCACTTGTAAACAAGTACACTGGAAGCATCATACCTAAAGTATTTTAAAACTTTGTTCTTACAATTTAAAAAGTGTACATTTTTTAAATCAGGCTATATTATATGGAACCTGAACAAAACAGAGTATCTTTTCAGAGAAGTATCAAATACATTACCTTTTCTCAAGAAATGTTTTCCCATTGACATAATTTTTTCCCATTGCTGTTGCTTTCCAGGCAAAATAAGCTCCCTGTAAAAGCAATAATCTATTGATTGAATTGTTTTGTGTAACTTAGTGAAAGACTGTGTATTCAGTTACTTGGTAAAAAAGTACAGCAGCAAAACACTGAGTGTTCTGAGACTACAGGAGAGAATTTGGATCATATTGAGATTAATTTTATATGGGAACATATGCTGTGAAACTGTACAAGATGTGTATTGCACCCCACCTATTTTCATCCTCTCGCTACTTTGAAAGATACATTTAGTAAGTCATTAGCATAGTCTGGATTTGGGATTCCTTAACCAGAAATAGTTCATTTGCCTTTGAGAAAGTGTACACTCAAATCCTTACTGAGGCTCACCCCACATATTCTTCTTTTTGAAGATAAAGTAATGTAAGTGACTTGTTGCAAATCAGCCATCTTATTTATGTTCACTACTAACAAGATATTTAGTCATCCCTTCTATCCCCTCCTCTGGCATGAAGATCAGCTGCCTTAAACAAGTCATCTGCATTTTGCTTTTTACACTGAAGCATCAGTAATTCAAACCACCAGAAGCTGCAGTGATCACTACAATGACCTCATTTTTTTCATCTGAAGCACTGCACCTCACACATGCATCAAAGGGTAGTTTTTCTGAAGTGCACTGCAAACCCAGCAAATAAACTCATTTAAATTGACCACTGTCATTAAATACCACAGCATGTGCATTACATCTCACAATGCTACAGATTTTGGCTTAAATTCCATCCAGTTTGGAACAGTATAACAGTCAATGTATTTTTTCCTAGTAGTTGTTACAGAACACCATTTTTGCTGGCACTATCAACTAGGTGAGAAGGTATAAAAGGGATGACCTCCCTCAGAAACAGCTGCCATCCCTCAAAGCAGTACAGGAACATGTAGACACAGAATGATGCAGGCTTGCTCCAAGCACCTACTGACATGACCCATTTTGACTTCTGACGTTATCTTTCACTCTAGCTCTGTATTATTCTCATCACAGAAAGTATTTAATGAGCACATTCAAAGTTTCCCATGTTTTATCAGAGCAGCAGAACTCACAAGTGTAAGATACTTACAGATGGATCCGACTGAAATAAATACGGCCGCCCTTCATTCCAGCCACATATTAGCAGCGATACACCAAAGGGACGAACACCACTACAGGCAAAAAAATAGAATGAATTATCCAGTGAAAGTCAAAGGTGACCCATTATTTTGGATGTGTTTATCTTCTCCCCAGACCAGGACTGTAACGAGGATGAGTTAACCAAGAGAACAAAACCAAAAGTGTCCTGCCTTGGCTGACATGTTTTTGTGCAAGATATGGAGATCAATTCTCGCCCACAGCCAGTCAGTGCTCCTCCTACTGGCACATTTTCTGTGCACATTCTCCACTGAAAAACTGCCTCTTCCACAAAACCCCCAATCAGTGGGTAGCTGTTACTCATTCCATTTAAACACCACTATCTTTCCAAGCAGCTCTGCAATCCCAGCAAGTACCCAGACTGCGTGTACTCCTGCATCACCGAGGCAATTCTCTGTACGAGCTGAGCTGTTGGAATGGGCTCATGATAAACCAAGTAATACTGCTGGGCCAGCTTCCGAGCTCTGTGCACAAGTACTCTGAAAACAAAGACAAAAGTACTATGTCAAAAAAATTCCAACTAGAACTGACAACTCATAATAATAAATATCTATTCAGGAGTTGTACATCTGGCATAACCTCAATGTAAGAACACAAGACCGTGCTGAGTTATTTTATCAGCCAAGCAATTGCTGAAATATTTAAAGTAAGGTTGAATTATGCTGCTTTTATTCTTTAGATACAAGGTTATTTGACAAGTTAATAAATATATTAAGAAAAAATTCAAGTGAATGTCATTCACAGTGCCATAGAGTATTATGGCATACACTTAGAAAGAAACAGATAATTACTACCTATTACTTAAACTTGTATGAATATGCATCTAAATGGTGATCAAACAGAATGTTTTAGTACCTGTAATCTGGACCCATACCACTGTACACTAAACCTATATGTTTGGTAATTGGTTCTACTTTGTGGACGCTCCTTTCATCATACAGAATGGATTTCTGCTTCTTCTCAGTTGCCAACACCACTCCATTTGCCGCTGGAAAAGAAAAAAAAAAATTTAAAAATTAAACTAAAATTAGCAGTCAAAACACAGGATGAGCTTAATAAAACTGTAAAAAATTTTCTTCTTCTCTTTTTAAATGCCATTCAAGCTTACAATCAGGTTAAAGAGATACTTTGATGAATACACCCAACACATTGTTTGTTTTTTTTAAATAGCCAGGCAGCTCCCATAATCCCATTCTAAAGATTCTGTATAACATTAATAATTGAGCAATCTAACTATCTTTTTTTTGTGTGTGTTATTTATATATATAAAGGCCAGGAACACTCAAAAAAACCCTCAAAAACCAAACATCTACTTCTACCAGCTGAATGTCTCCAAATCACCCAAAAAAAAAGAACCCCAGGAACCATAAAATGTATTAAAACATGTGAAAATCCATGGAAAGAGTAACAAAATATGTAACTGAAAGAAAGATAAAGAAGGATCCAATACAAGAGACCCAGTACATGATCCAAACTAGTTTAGTTCTCCCAAAAAAATAGACAAAATCCCAATTCCATCAGTATTTTGAGGACATACCTTTAATCCCAACTGATGGAGCTCCTGCAGCTACTGCAGCCAAAGCATATTCAATCTGAACAAGCTTCCCAGAAGGACTAGAAAGGAAGATGCAAAATAAAGTTTTTCATTCAGTGGGGAAAAATCTTCAGGGTGTGTCATGACTTTCTATTGAAATTCCATTGTATGTGTGATTCCCAAAAGCTTTCAAGACACTGATGTTCACTGCTGAAAGGAACCAGCAAAACACAGCTCTGCTTTTTGACTGACAAACACACAAGGTCAATGGCACAAGACAGCAACAACTCCCATTCCATCCCCAGGTATTCCTGCATTGGGTTTCAATGATCCACGCTATTCTGGTAATGGAGGCAGAATCATTAGAAGGGAGCTGCAGGTGTCAAGCAACATGAGTTACAAAGTAACTCATTCAGAAGGAGAGGGGTCCCTTCCCCGTCCCCAGTACAAAGGACACCAGAGGCAGCACTCACTGGACAAGTGATTTTGCAAGTGGATCTGTTCTCCACTCCAGGCTGTATTTCAGACACTGCTGCTTTAATAGTTGCAGTAGTAAAACGGGATATTATGTAACTCAGTGCTTAGATGAAGAAAACAAAGCAAGGAATAATCAATCAGTGTAGTCACAGAGGAAACAGGGTGTAAGAGTGACAAAGTAGTAATTCTGGCTTTTCCACTACAAACTACAACAAATCAGAACAATCATTCCAAGAACATAGTGCTTCTGTAAAAGACAAAAAGTTTGTGACTCCCTTAGGAAATAATTCCTGAAAGCTAATAAAGAATTCAATCTACTTGAGCAAAGCAAGCATGTCAGGCTGCTTGCATCCATTAAGAACATTCTTTTCATCATTTTAGGTTACAAACTGCTTCATTTGCTCAACTGCACCAAGCCTTTAGCAATCCCTTTTGCAATTACACAGCGTGACTCTCTGCTGAGATTAAGGGGACACTTCCCCATGAGCAGCATAAAGGTTCTTGTGATCAGTTTTTCTTTTTTCTATATGCAACATAGGTCTGAATAACTTAATAGCTTAAAAAAATGAATGGAAGGTAATTTCCTTTACTCTGAATTAATCTTCAGTGTAGATATTAGAGCAACAGCCCAACAGACACCACTCCATAGCATATTCACTCTGTGCATGCCGTCATTCCACGTTCAGGCTGTGCACAACACCAAGTGCAAGGAGAGCAGCCACTGCCAAGCGTAGCAGGAAGGAACACAAACTATTTTAAAAGTCATCTGCTTCACTCATTCCCACATCTGAAGCAATCTCTCAGGACACCACAGCTCAGCTGTCATCAGGCGTTTCCAATTAGCTCAGAATCACAGAGTTATTCCCCAGCCTACACTATGTGTGTGGTGCCCCGAGTTTGCTAAGCCGAGCACTCGCTGTAAGGCAGCGCCAGTGTCCGGACAGACCTTAACGTGCTCCTGCAGCACCTCTGTCTCACAGCAACGCGAAGACACAAGCGGCGCCCGCACCGGGCCCCGAGGCCAGCGACAGACCCCAGGAGCCTCCCCGCCGCCCTTGAGGAGGGCTCTGGGCAGCTGCGTGTCCCCCTCGGGCGTCTGACCCCGCCGCTCTCCCCACGCCCGGCACTCCCGTCCAGGTGGAGCCCCCGCTGCCCCCCAGCGCTCGCAGGCCCGATGACTCTGCAAAGCGCCCCCTCGGTGCTGCCTCGCCGCCGCCGGCAGACCGCTCCGCTCAGGCTGCGCGCCGTTCTCCCGCTGGCCCGGCAGCCCGCCCGCCTGTCCCCACGAGCCCACAGCCGTCCCTGCCCCGGCACCTGAAGGTGGTGAGGGAGAAGCTGTAGCCGCGCTCCGCCATTTTGGCACCAGCCCCTGCGCTCCCCGCGCCGGCTCCTGGGCGCAGGCGCGGACGCCGCTCCCGCTCCCAGCGCTAAGGCACAGCGAGCGCACTGATTGGCGGCGTGGTGGCCTCTGCCTGAGCGTGCTGGGATGCGGTTGGCGGCGAGGCGCACCGTGAGGCATGCTGGGAGCTTGAGTCCTCCATCCGCCCTACACCGCCCCGCCCTCCCGGTAGCGAGAGCAGTGCTGGGACTTGGAGTCCTGGTCCTGTCTCCCTGCACTGCCGCGACCGGCTGAGGGCACTCGGTTTCCCAGAAGGCTCAGGAACGGGGTCGCCTTCCCCGAGGGCTCGGCGGGGCCGTGTGGGGCTATGGCGGTGCTGGTCCTGGTCCACTCTCCCTTGCTGCGGCTTCGCGCTCTGCTGCAGCGCTGCTGGGGGCGGCTGGAGCGCGGCCTCTGGCCGGGAATCTTCGGAGGCCAGAGCCCGCCCTGGGGTAGGTTCCGGGCTCTTCTCCGCCCAGCTGAAGGAACTGGACGCGTTCCCGTGTCACCTGCTTTGGGAAGGGTTTGGAGTAGATGATCTCAGAGGTCCCTTCCAAGTCCATCGATTCTGTGATTTTGTGAGAGGGCGATGTCGGGGCTGAGGGACTCGTTTTTCTCTGAAGGGCGGGAGGGCGCTGGGGTCAGTGAGGGAGTGGGGCGGGGGCGCCGCTCTGGCCTTGCGTCGGGGGTGGCGGCAGCATCCGTGTCGTGTTTCCTCTACCGCACGTAAATGGGGCTTGGCTGTGAGGAATTTCTTTCTCACAGAATCACAGATTATGCTAAGCTGGAAGGGGCACACAAGAATCATCAAGTCCAATTCAGCCCTGCACAGGACACCTCCAAGAGTCATACCGCGTTTTCCAAAGGCTTCCTGAACTCTGTCAGGCTTGGAGCTCTGACCAAGCCCTCCCTGGGGAGGCTGCTCCAGTGCCCAGCCACCCTCTGGGGGAAGAACTTTTTCCTAATGGTGGACCCAAACCTCCCTTGACTGAGCTTCATGCCATGCTCTTGAATCCTGTCACCACAGAGAAGAGATCAGTGCCTGCCCCTCTCCTTCCCCTCATGAGGAGGTTGTAGAATGTGATGCGGTCTCCCCTCAATCTCCTCCAGGCTGAACAGATGAAATAGCCTCAGCTGCTTCTTGTATGGCTTCTCCTCCAGGCCCTTCACCGTCCTGGTGGCCCTCCTTTGAATGCTCTGTAAGAGCTTTATATGCTTCTGATGTTGTGGTGCCCAAAACTGCACACGGTATTCAAGGGGAGGCTGCACCAGTACAGGGCAGAGTGGGCCAATCATGGCCCTCTTTTCCTTTCTCCTGCAGGACCAGCTCTCGCTGTGCAAGGTCCAGCCCTTGTTCCACAAGGGATCGGTGGTGCTGGGGCGCCCAGCCTGCCGGAGAGCGTGGTGTGGATGGCGGCGCCCAAGCACAGGCGCACCATCGAGGTGAACCGCTGCAGGCGAAGGAACCCCAACAAGCTCATAGAAATAAAGGTGAGCAGCAAAGCCCTTGTTTTGGAGAATCATTGCAGAGGAAAGGACTGTAAAAGCTCTCTGGAGTTTGTTTGTAAAGCAATAAGCTTAAAAGATACTGTAATCTTTAAAATCCTTTATAAATCCTTTGTAATTCCTTTGTAATTCACCATGTGTGACAGTAGTCTGAGGTTAAATAAACGGTGACACTTGAGGTGCAAGCCAACAAAATGCGAAGTTTGGCTGAACAGATAATGTAAATGGGAAAGGCCTACATTTTCTGTGCATCTAATTGAGTCTATAGGTCTTTAGTCTTCCAAACATAATTAAACATAATGACTTAAATACTGAATTTAGAGGCTGTTCTTAGTAGTAAGCATTTGACATAGCAACACATTACAGAAAAGTTAGGTAGAGGAATACATTTTGAAATGGTAGGTGAATTTCTCTAATTTAACATTTTTATTTGTATATTTTTATTTTGCCCTGTTTCTTTTTTTCTGCTATTCAAATTATGAATTTTCCTGTTTTCCACTGTCATTTTAGAGGAACATAGATGTTTGTCCTGAATGTGGAAACTTGAAGCAGAAACACGTCCTTTGTGGCTATTGTTACGCAAAGGTCAAAGAAGAAACTCGACTGATCCGGATGGAAATATACAAGAAAGAAGGAGGGCCATTTAATGCTCCAACTGTAGAGACTGTTGTCCTTTATGAAGGAGAAAAACCCACAGAAAAAGATGAAGGCAAGCGGATCATTGAAAGAGCCAGGAAGCGTCCATCTTGGTTTGTTCAAAATTGATGCTGTAGAATTAATGGTAGCAAAAGCAGTTGCTGCAGGAAGAGAATTCATGATTTTCCAGAATGTTTTTCTCGTTCACTCAGTGTGAACAGAACTCCTCTGAACTTTTCGGAAGCCTGCTTGAATTTTTGTTGTGCCATGTGATTTTCCAGTCAGGCACTGTTTCTCCAGCATGCAGTGGGAAATGTTTCTCAGTGATGATACATCACAGCAGTCAACAGAGACAAATCAGGATCTGCCTTGGGTTTGGATATCTGCATACTGTCCCCTGAACAATTTGTATGCTAATGTCCTATGCTGGTTTTGTGAATAACATCTTCTAAATTCTAAGATGTTCAATAAAGTTTGTTAAGTGTCCCAGGGAAATTTGCTTTCTGGTTTTGGCTACTGCTCTTTTGGAGGGGGAAAAATGTTTAAAAGTGATATTGATCAGAAACAAAGGGCATTTGCAAGGAACTATGCAGTTACTTGGTTATTTCCTTTGTGTGGATCTCTCCACAATGTTGCTGTTTGAGATAATTTGTGATAGTCCTAGTTCTGAACAGAATAGTGGTTGCCAGCCACATAGTATTTGCATTTTTTTCTGCACTGGACAAAGATTGAATATTCCTTGCTGTTGTCAGTATACAAGATAATTCTATCTTAAAGGGTTGTGGAAAGCCTGTTTTCCTCTCCCAGCAGCATACACTTGAGTAAAAAACCAAATTGAAATTTAATGACTGGAAATTTGTAAATGTGACAGGAGTCAAGGCTGTTTCTTTGCAGCTGTTCAGTAGTCTGGGTGGTCAGTGTGTGCTTGGAAAACCACAAGCAGGAATGGTGCCTTCAGCTGGAGTCCTGGGCAGAGAGGGGGCAGCTCTGCCTCCACTCTCCACTGGTGCCTTCAGAGGTGCAGCTGCAGCATCTGCCTGGATTTTCACTTTGGGTTTAGCCACACAGCAGCACCCCTGCTTTAGGGGTTTGAGTCTGTTTTCAGTTTTTGTTGCGGATTTCAGTATACACACAATACTCTGGTATTGTGGCTTAGCCACCCTAGTAGCTATTTGGCTGCCAAAAAATGCAAACCTGCTCCAACCCTGTCACAGAATCACTAGATGGGAAGAGACCTTCAAGATCATTGAGTCCAGCCCATGCCCTAACACCACCTCAACTAAACCATGTGTCACATCCAGGGATGGTGACTCCACACCTTCCTGGGCAGACGATTCCAGTACCATATCTCTCTTCCCATAAAAAAACTTTTTCCTAATATCCAACATATATTTCCCTTGGCACAGCTTAAGACTGTGTCCTCTCGTTCTATCAGTTGCTTCCTGGAGAAAATGACCAACCCCCACCTGGCTACAGCCACCTTTCAGGAAGTTGTGGAGAGTGATAAGGTCACTCCTGAGTCTCCTTCAGGCTAAACACCTCCAGCTCCCTCAGTCATTCCTCACAGGGATTGTGTTCCAAGCCCATCTCCAGCCTCGTTGCCCTCTGGATGTGCTCAAGCGTCTCAAGGTCCTTCCCAAACTGAGGGCCCAGAGCTGGACACAGTGCTCAAGGTGTGGCCTCACCAGTGCCGAGTACAGGGGCAGAATGACCTCCCTGCTCCTGCTGGCCACACTGTTCCTGATACAGGCCAGGATGCCACTGGCCTTCTTGGCCACCAGGGCACACTGCTGGCTCATGTTCAGCCTGTTGTCACTCAGTATCCCCAGGTCCCTTTCTGCCTGGGCACTGTCCAGCCACATTGTCCCCAGCCTATAACACTGCAGGGGGTTATGGTGGCCAAAATGCAGGACTCAGCACTTGGACTTATTAAATTCCATCCCATTGGACTCTGCCCATCCATCCAACTGTTCCAGGTCTCTCTGAAGAGCCATCCTACCTTCCAACAGATCGACACATGCTCCCAGCTTAGTGTCATCCACAGATTTACTGATGAACAACTCAACACCCTCATCCATGTCATCAATGAAGGTACTGAACAGAACTGGCCCCAGCACAGACCCCTGAGGGACATCACTGGTGACTGGTCCCCGCTGGATGTGGCACTGTTTGCCTCCACCCTCTGGGCCTGGCCATCCAGCCAGTTCCTAACCCAGCAAAGAGTGCTCCAGTCCAAGCCATGGGCTGTCAGCTTTTCCAGGAGTGTGCTGTGGGAGACAGTGCCAAGGCCTTGCTGAACTCCAGATAGACAACACCCACAGCCTTTCACAGACCTCATCCACCAGGTGGGTCACCTGGTCATAAAAGGAGATTGGGTTGGTCAAACATGACCTACCCCTCCTAAACCTGTGCTGGCTGGGTCTGATACCCTGGCCATCCTGGAAGTGCTGTGTGATGACGCTCGGTATAAACTGCTCCATCACCTTACTGGGTACTGAGGTCTACTAAGTAGAGCCAGTGCTAACTGGCCTAGAATTAACAGGATCCTCCTTCCCACCTTTTTTGTGAATGGGCGTCACACTGGCCAGCTTCCAGTCATCTGGAACTTCACCAGTGAGCCAAGACTGCTGGTAAATTATGGAGACCGGTTTCACAAGCTCACCTGCCAGCTCCTTCCTCACCCAGGGATGGATCCCATCTGATCCCAGAGATTTATGAACATCCAAGCCGCTCAGCAGTTCTCTGACTGCCTCCTTCTGGACAACAGGGGATACATTCTGCTCCCTGACACCATCTGCCAACCCTGGACAGCTGTCCTGAGGACAAGCCATCTTCCTTCTAAAGACTGATATCGGAATAAATCACACA